CTCTTCCACTGGGTTGGCCCATTCATGGCCTGAGGTTATTAAAGCAAGAAGCCTATCTTCTATCTATCTTCTTTTCTCCCCGCCTCTACATCGCCGAGTAAAATATCTCATCTTTCTCTATGTATTTATGTGTAGATTTGTGTATTGTCTGACTGATTACGCTTTATTTCATGTCCTGAATAAAGTATCAATCAATCAAAAGTTTCAGCTGAATGAAACGAATAGTGTGTGGGAAAAGCTTGGAGGAGTCGTCGAGAAATGTGGAATCAATTTGCGGAAATCAATCAAGCTACAACGTTTAGCGAATAAGGTTTTCTTTTTGCAACATTGACAAGTGTGTTAAATATTGACGCCCTGCAATTTCAGGGTGACGCCAAAATATTCATCTATCCGGTTGCAATGAATGACTCACTTGTCTCAGTGACATTGGGAATCGGTGGAGATGTGAAAGTGGAGAAGCAGCTGAATGTGAGCATTGTTTTTTTGGTGCGCGTGCTTCTGTGGCTATCTCAAGATGCATTAAAATTCATTTATTAGTTTGATTGGTACTTTTGAATTAGAGAGAACAATCAGAACCTAGATTATCCCCTGAAATACAGGGTCACCGCGACAACCTTTTGGAAAAGTAGCTAGTAAATGTCTAATTTATTTCAAAAGTGTCAAGTGTTATATAGAGAATTGTAGGCCTTAATCTTGGCTACATTTATCTAGCAAAAACCTCTCGATTGGACTTATACAAATCATTTAACAAGCGCTTGAATAAGCGCTAGTCGACATCTCTCCGGCGCTCATTCAAGCGCTTGTTAAATGATTTGTATAAGTCCAATCGAGAAGTTTTTGGTAGATAAATGTAGCTAAGATTAAGGGCTACAATTCTCTATATAACACTCGACACTTTTGAAATAAATTGGACATTTGGCAAATACTTTTGCATTGCATTGCTCAGGCGGCCCATCTCCGGCGATCTGCCATTTCAATTTGCATCCAGATTTTGATGTATGTGCTGCTCTATCTCTATAAATTTATCGAACTTAATTTTTGAGTAAGAATAATGCAAAAATTCTTTTGGCGGAGTCTTTTTGAATGAGTTTTCTATAAATAAAATTTCCAAAAAGATACACTTAGTAGTTTCGCGTAAAAGTTTTGTGAAAATTCGTAAATTTGGGCATTTCTTAAAGACCAGTCTTTCAAACGTTCTGCAAATTTGGATATAAGCTTGATTTTTGATTCTCTACAACTTTTCCATTGACACCAAAATGGGTTTCTTTTGAAGAAAGTGCTCAAACTGTCACATATGAAAATAGCCCGCAGTTTTCAATTCACCAATCCAATAAAAGCAAACCTTTTAAATTCAAATTTTACAAAGGAATCCTTTCAAAAATTGTTTCTTTTTGATAACTTTTACTTAAAAAAGAAGAATTGACGTTAAAATGTTGAACTTGAAACTCATTTAATTGACATTGAGCCGTTCAACTTCCCATTGAGCCGTTCAACTCCCCATTGAGCCGTTCAACTCCCTATTGAGCAGTTCAACTCCCCATTGAGCCGTTCAACTCCCTATTGAGCAGTTCAACTCCCCATTGAGCCGTTCAACTCCCTATTGAGCAGTTCTACTCCCCATTGAGCCGTTCAACTCCCTATTGAGCCATTCAACTCCCTATTGAGCAGTTCTACTGCCCATTGAGCAGTTCAACTCCCCATTGAGCCGTTCAACTCCCCATTGAGCAGTTCAACTCCCCATTGAGCCGTTCAACTCCCCATTGAGCCGTTCAACTCCCCATTGAGCCGTTCAACTCCCCATTGAGCCGTTCAACAAATTCAATGGCTCAAATGTTAAGTGTTTTGAAACTGGTATTTAATTGAAGTCAACCTTTGGTAAGCGAATGTGCCAAATTTGAATATAAAGTTTAGAATGAGACTAAACTTGTGAAAACGCAAAGGCTTTTTAAATTTTTAGGGAGAGGGAAATATTGGAGTCTCTACTAGACTTGATTATCGATAGCGATATCGTCTTTATTGATAAATGGCATGCTCATGTTTAACCACTCAGATCTCAGTTTCTAGAACAGCTATCAATCTACAAATTGTTTCATTAGAAAGCATTTTCAATTCACCAACCCAATATTTTAAGTGCATTTAAGTGTCGGCTCAATTTCAGGCAACTTTCACAAACATCGATTTCTTTGGCGCTGATCCGTTTGAGGCGACGGCTGGCGTATTCCGAGCACTCGGAAATGTTTATTTGGTATTTCTTTTTTGTTAGAAATAGAATTCGATCTCAGAATTTTGCAAATCTTTCAATATCTTTCAATTCGACTCAATTAAAGCCATCAAAACTTGAAAAAGCCTTTCTTTTCTTCTTCAAAATAAATCAAATAACTATTTTAAAGACTGGTATTGGGCCGATTGATGGACAGATCAACTCGTCGATTCTCACAAACGATGACCCTCAAAAGCCAATCTATAACACAAAAACGATCGCGTCGATCACCTTTAAGAACTACCTAAATAAAGTACTTTTTCTTATGCTTTAAAGAAAATTGTTTCAATTTAGATAAAGTACTTTTAGATAAAGCAAAATTTCATCGATTTTCTTTTAATCGACATCGAAGGCCCGGAGTACTGGGTTTTGCCGAAGATTTTCGATGAAGAAATGCGAAATGAATACACGATTTGTCAGGTAAAAGAAAAATCTCGAAACAAAGTCAACAAAGCCAACAAAGCAATAAAGCCAACAAAGCCAACAAAGCAACAAAGCCAACAAAGCAATAAAGCCAACAAAGCCAACAAAGCCAACAAAGCAAAGAGCAACAAAGCAAAGAGCAAAAAGCTAAAAGCAACAAAGCTAAAAGCAACAAAGCAACAAAGCCAACAAAGCAACAAAGCCAACAAAGCAAAAAAACAACAAAGTAACAAAGCAACAAAGCAACAAAGCAACAGCAGCAAATTTCTTTTCAGTTAAACATTGAAATCCACGGCCCATTGGAAAGCTATGGAGTGACGACAAAGCAATTCGATGCTCTTGTGAGTGTTTATAATGGGAAATTTCCGTAACTTGAAACTAGTTTTTCCAATTTCCTTTTCAAAATCTCAATAGAAAAGAAACTTTTACTAGATTTTGTTTAAATAAAAAAAAAGAATTAAATGATTGAAAAGGTTTTGATGTGTTTACCTGTTTTTGAAGTTTCTACTATAGTTGTTTAGTAGTTGTTATGTTTCATTTTGTTGCACTTGTTGAGATCTACAAAATGATCCAAAAATCATTAAAATTGGCCCACTTAGAAAAAAGTTATGACGAGTTGCGCAAATGCCGGAAATTAATCTACCTCGTTCAAACAACCTTTTTTTAGGTTTTCCATACAAAGTTATGAGGCAAAAGGTTAATTCCCATCCATAACGGAGTTTTTAGCCAACAACTTTACGCGGATATGATATTTAGAGTTAATCTTCGTATCATTCGACGCACAATTTTTTTCTGCATCGAATTATAATCAAAATAGTCAAAATCAAAAGGTTTGTGCTGAGAAAAACACGAAAATTTTTAAATTGCCAACGGCAAAAAAGGATACGCAGATGTTTTCGTCAAAAATCTATCCAAAACGAGCAAGTTTTCGGTAGTTTTCAATAGATAAGAGTACCTGTTCCAATCTTGAAATATTTTCAGATCTTTTCCTCACTCGACTCCTCATTTCTCCCGCTTTCCCTACCTGCAGGCGGCACGCATCGTCGTGTATTCTACTTTAATTGGAGAAATTCTGAATGTGTGCAAAAATTTCTACGCAATTTATGTCAGATTTTTTGAATATTACTTAATTAATTATTATTAATTAATTAATTTACGAATATTTTAATTATTTCTACGATTAACAAGGATTAAAGGAGCTCAAGTTTTAGAGGAAATACCGTTTTTTCTCTAATAGTAGTGCACCCTGCCGAGTTGGTGACTAGTTTAAGCCCTGAGTGTCCGTCAGAGCTGACTCTAGATCTGGCTAGCTGACTGTAGCCTGTTTTCTGCCTGCTTGGAACATAACTACCGTTTTTCTCTAATAGTAGTGCACCGAGCCGAGTTGGTGGCCGAGTTGGTGACGATTTTACGGTTTTGAAGTTTTCCCAGAAGCTCAACACTCTAATCATCGTCAAGATCTCATCGTCAGCTACATTTTCCGACCCCACATCGATAGGTTCTGATAAGCGGTTCTCGAGATTTTAAGGAATTTAAGCGACGCTCAGGGTGCACTGCTATTAGAGAGAATATGGCAAAAACTTCAGATTAACTATGACTATTCTAAATGACTATTCTAAATACCTATTAGAGAGAATACGGTTCTAAATACGGTTCTAAATACCGTATTCTCTCTAATAGGTATTTAGAATAGTCATTTAGAATAGTCATAGTTAATTTGAAGTTTTTGCCGTATTCTCTCTAATAGTAGTGCACCCCGGCGAGCCGAGTTGGTGACTATTTGACGGTTTCTAAGTTTCCCCAGAAGCTCAGCACTCTAATCATCGTCAAGATCTCATCGTCAGCTACATTTTCCGACCCCACATCGATAGGTTCTGATAAGTGGTTCTAGAGATTTCGAGGAATTTAGGCGACCGTCATGGTGCACTACTATTAGAGAAAATACGGTACTTGTTTTTTTGGGTTCATTTTGATGTTTCCATAAAACAACGAGCTTTGAGGCAAAAATGACCAAAAATGGCCAAAAATGGCCAAAGAAAAGCACTGAATTGAATGCAATGACTGCTGGATGAACATGTAAAACAAAGAAAGACTCTCTTCACAAAACGCTCTAAAATCCTCTAAAATGCTCTTCGTTTTGTTGATTGTTGATTGTTGATTGTTGATTGTTGATTGTTGATTGTTGATTGTTGTTTGTTGATTGTTGTTTGTTGATTGTTGATGAACAGCACGTTCATCGATTGTGATTGTGCGATAAAGTTGGAACTTTCCATTAAGCACTTCATTTAGCTACCAAAAACTTTTTGATTGAACTTATAAAGATAAAGTTGGAGCACTGGCACTGGAAATCCATTAAGCACTGAAATTAAACAGCGAAGTTCATGCTACAATCAGTTTTAAGCATTTCTAACAACAATTTTCGGGACATTGCTTTTGCTTTTGCTCAAAAATTTCTCACTTTAAGCCTTACAGAGCTTCTGGATATGGACTAGGAATTTACTGGATATGGACGAGATCGTAAGTGGAAGGTTGTAAAGATTTTCTTCTGTAAAGACAAGTGTTCAGTTTGTGGCTGAGCACGAAATTGGCAGTGGACGATTCATGTGAAAGTCGAGAATCGAAAGCCCGGCGATCATGACAAGCTCGTGAGCGGGAGCGCTCGGTGTACATTGGAGGAAGCGTCGAAGCTCATCGTCACCTCTTTCAAAGCCACCAGGCTAAAGCTCAAAGCCACCATGAAGTAGAGTTAGAAAGCTCATCTGTTTCGTCAATTTCGAAGCATTCTGCTTAAAATCTCTACCATTTTGCGCAACAAAGAGCCGCTTTCAAAAGTATAGGCGAGCTTAGAAGAAAGTTATTATATTAGCAAAAAATTTGGCACAAAGTAGCCACCCCCGTTCTTATGTGCATTTGTTGTTGCTCAACAAAACACTAACCAAGTACTATACAAGATGAGCGGTAAAAAAAAGACAGAACAACCAGCGAGTGCTTTGCATAAAAATTTGAGATGCGAATGGATGATTTGTTTTGTTTCAAAATTTTATTTATGACAACTCTACATGTAAATACAGAAATTCGAAAGCGATAAATGCAAGTTAAATACAGAAATTCAAATTACTGAATGCATATTTGCATGAATTTCGTTTTTTCGATCCCTGAGCAAAAGGAAAGTGCAAGTTTTTGTCGGAAAAGACAAGTAAAGGGGATCACATTTTGTGTGGCAAAATTAACTTTTTCTTTTTTTTTTTTTGACAAATAAAGCAAAAGAGATCATAATAGTTATGCTAGGGAAAACGAGGAATTCGATGGGAAGAAAAAGTGTTTTGTCAAGTAGACAGGGTAAAGAGGAACTTTGAAAATGAATGACAAAATAATTTCCCAACTTTAGGCAACTAATAAATGGGTGTCAGATTATTGAATGGGATTTGGGTGTCAGATTAAGATGAATAGTGAATCAGATGAATAGAGTGTGTTCTAGACATGGGCTTTTCGATAGAAAATGTCAGACATTCTAGACATTCTAGACAATTTCACGTTTTAGCAAACAGCTCTTGTTTTCGCCTTACTTTAGGGAACACACTCTCGAATCCCATAGTCAATCTACCACTTGAAATCGCTAGGTGGTCGCCAATAATATTTGTGCTTGTAGACCTTGGTCCAAGCCGGGTCCAGTCCATAAGTCGTTGTGGGTCTCGGCGTGGTTGTTGTGGTGGTCGAGGAGAAAAGACGAGGCGCCGGCTTCTTGCAAACGGCTCGGCCATATTGCTTGCAACACGATTGGAACCATTCGCCTGAAAATTCAATTTATCAGTTGCTGTTTGCTGTTTAACAATTTATCAGTTGCTGCAGCTACAGATTTGGATATATTTATCCCAATTTGAACTTGTTTCTCTACTTGCTTCTCTATGAGTTTCTTCTCCTAGTTTCTTCTCCTAGTTTCTCTCTCAATAAGTTTCTCTCTCAATAATTGTTTAGTTATCAATTATACTCGAGTTTTCTTTATTTCTGTGCATTTTTCATTGTATTTTAACTCAAAAATGAAATTTGTATAGTAAAAAGAGCAAGTTTTGACTAGTTTTGACTAGTTAAACTATTGAGTTTCAATTTTGAGAGATTAAGATCCATCGAACTTTTGTCAATGAAATTTTAACTGGTAAAGGGGAACTTGAAGCTAAAGAGGAATTTGAAGGTAAAGCTGAACTTGAAGGTAAAGAGGAACTTGAAGGTAAAGCTGAACTTGAAGGTAAAGCTGAACTTGAAGGTAAAGAGGAACTTGAAGGTAAAGCTGAACTTGAGCCAGTTGGCGGTTTGATTAAATCTAATAATAAGTACTACCGTAAATACTGTAATAGGATAAGATTGGCTATCTTTTGGCTATAAACACTTATAAAATAATCAAAAAAATAAATCAAATAAGAAGCTTTTTAGAGAGGATTCGAAAAAGGACAGAATTTTCGCGAGAAGACAGACGAATTTCTTTAGCAAATTCCGTCAAATCAATGTTAATAAAATTGAAACTATTGGGTTGGGGAGAATGAGTCGGCGCCGAAAATGAAAAAAATGTCTAAAACTTCTATTCGACTTCGTCAAATAACTTCTAGCAACTAAAACTTCTATTCGACTTCGTCAAATAATATGCGTTTGATATGAGTAGAATGGTTAACTAATTCTCTACAAAATGACATTTAAAAGAAAATTCAAACAGCGCCTCCGCTCAAGAAAAAGCCATTTTTTCACAAAAACTACAAACTGTCATCTCGAAAAAACCATTGGTGGGATCTTCCTGCAAATTTGGCAACTTAAGTAATTGAATGTGCTCTATCTTTTTTATATAAACACCAAAGAAGGTTTATGTGAAAGAAACTGTTCAAATGATGAGTCGGACTCTTTGCCATTTTAACCAGCTGCGTTTGGAAGTTCATAAACTCCACGAAAGAAAAGCTTTGTGGAATCTCTCAAAAGTGATTTTGTAGAGAAATAGTGGATCCTTTTGATGAAACCAAACGTATGTTTAAAGAAGGCTTTATGTGTGCAAAAAGTCCCTTTAAAGTTGGGCGCCGACTCATTCTCCCCAACCCAATAGCTAGTTAGTTAGCTTTAAAAGCAAAGATATTGATCAAGATAAAAATAGCTACCGTAAATACTGTAATAGTACCCCCCCCCCCCCATAATGACGGTGCGGAGCGTTGCGTAGTCTAGCTTGGGACGCGTTTTTCTCGATACTGGTTTATGCTACAATGCGCGCTTAGGTATCAAAAAATAGCCCTGAATTTCAGTTATTATTACAGTATTTACGGTAGATTATTGAAAACTTGGGGTCTAGAAACAACCCTAGGCATAGAGATTTAAAAAAAAAATTACCGTAAATACTTTAAAATGTTACCCCATCGTACTAACTTCTTTTTAGAAAATCATTTTTTTTTCTCACCCCCTAGATTCTTCCCAACTACACTTTTAATACCAAAAAATACTAGATTTCAAGGGTTATCTTTTGACATCATGTAGCATACTGTAGCTTAAAGCAACACGAAGAACGGGACGTTCAAAGTTAGACTGTACCCCCATCATTATGGAGAGTCTAGCTTTGAACGAGGGTTTCTCGACACTGGTTTATGCTACAGGTATCAAATAGGTATCAAAAAATAGCCCTGAATTTCAGCTATTTTTTGATACCAAAGACGCATTTTTTGAAAGTACGGGCGCTTTGAAAAAAAAATGAAATACTAAAAAACTTTTGCGACTACGAGGGGAGGTGGAGTACTATTACAGTATTTACGGTAAATATAGAAATTGGAAGCGACTTTTGTAGCTCGCCATTTGTTGTTTAACACGTACAGCTTGCCGCGTCTCCTTTCTTTTCAATTTTCATTTACACGTTGCGGATTCCCGCTGACAGTGATGTGTCCTGTACATATAGGGTAGTAGAAACGGGCCTTCCTAGCGAATTTACCCGAATCTTACCCATGATCTGCTTAAGTATGCCCCATCTCAAACAAATTCTGCTCTCTCTCACCTGACAGTTGTGACAGTTCTTTAACCTCTACTCCCACTATCTGTTAATCTCTGTTAATTTTTGAGCACTATTTTATTCTCTTCGCAAAAGTCTTTTAGTATTTCATTTTTTTCAAAGCACCCGTACTTTCAAAAAACGCGTCTTTGGTATCAAAAAATAGCCCTGAATTTCAGCTATTTTTTGATACCTAAGCGCGCATTTTAGCATAAACCAGTGTCGAGAAAAACTCGTTCAAAGCTAGACTACGCAACACTCCGCACCGTCATTATGGGGGTGGGGTACTATTACAGTATTTACGGTAGGTACTTTATTTTGAAATATCAATATTTCTAACAACTAACAAGTAATAAGGCTAAAATTCACATTCTTCTCCAAAAATCCATGTATTTCCCAACAAAAAACCGATGACTAATCCGAAGCCACTACATAAAATGGCCTAATTCTCCAAAACACTCTTTTTCACTTTTTGTTTATTCCCCCTTACCATATGAGTCGACCTTGATGCAGCGACGAGCTCGATTCATCGCCGGGCGAACACCTGAAAGAGATTTTTGGGGTCTCTTGAGTGGAATTGAATCATGCAGAGTTTTAAAATCACCGGATATCCTTTTTCGACTCATTTTTGACCTATATGAGTCGTAGAAGTTTTGAAATCTTCCCTAGTTAGCCGAGATTAGTTAGCCGAGATTTTCTTTATGTTTCAACATGCTCAACACTAAAGTAAAGTTGAGGAAGTTAGTGTGGTAAATACTGCCAACGCATTATTAACGCGTTATTGACACTTTTTAAATTAACACAGGATTTAATTAACAACCTTAATGAACAAACCGTACACACAAAAGACGTACACACTACTTACTTGCAAAAGTTGACCAACTTGGATAGTCTATGATTCGAGGTATAGAAGCTGAATCAACTTATGATTGGTTTTAATAGAATCCCGATTAAATTTGGTTATAGAAAAGTACGATTTATCTTGTATACTTATGTGTAAGAACATAGAGAAATGTCGTGTCAAAGTTGACTTACCTACCTACAGAAGTCAATCAACTTTGACGGTTTATAACTCGAGATATAGAAGCTGAATCAACTTATGATTGGTTTTAATAGAATCCCGATTAAATTTGGTTATAGAAAAGTACGATTTATCTTGTATACTTATGTGTAAGAACATAGAGAAATGTCGTGTCAAAGTTGACTTACCTACCTACAGAAGTCAATCAACTTTGACGGTTTATAACTCGAGATATAGAAGCTGAATCAACTTATGATTGGTTTTAATCAAATCCTCATCAAATTTTGCTTTTGAAAAGTGGAATTTATTCTGTACACTGTACATTGTACATTTTGTTCTCATGTGTAAGAACATAGAGAGAATTTGGGTCAAAGTTGAACTACTTACATGCAAAAGTTGATCATCTTTGACAGTCTATATAACTCGAGGTATAGAAATTGAATCGACTTGTAATTGCTTTTAACACGTTGACGACAATGGCGTTTTTGCACAAACAATCGCATGGGACAACGTTGTTTTTTTCGACAAAAAATGTCACCTGACATCAGGTGACAATGTCCCAGGCGAACGAATATGTGTCAGACAGCATCAGGTGACAATGTCGTCAACGTGTTAAAAGAATCCTATTTTTTTTTTTACTTATTCTTGTACTATTCTGGCATAAATTTTGAATTTATTTGAAATTTTTAGAGTAGAACTTGTTGCTTGTTGGCTTGGATGTTGGTAGAAGTGAATTGTTGGCTTGGCTGTTGGTAGAAGTGAATTGTTGGCTCATGAGTTGGCTCATGAGTTGGCTCATGAGTTGGCTCATGAGTTGGCTCATGAGTTGGCTCATGAGTTGGCTCATGAGTTGGCTCATGAGTTGGCTTATGAGTTGGCTCATGAGTTGGCTCATGAGTTGGCTCATGAGTTGGCTCATGAGTTGGCTCATTGTTTCAATATTGTCAACACCACGTTAAGGAAATCAATTCGTTCGTAACTCCAAAAAAGTTAACAGACTAATGATGAAAATGAAACTAATTGACATGGACAATAATCATTGTCAAAGAATCAATAATTCTAAAATAATATAGGCCAGTAAAAGTGGGTTCTCCATGGGTATGGGAGCTCAAGGCTCATTTCAAAAGATGGATACAGGCTCAGGGCTTCGACTCCCCTGTTTTCCATTTCATTTCATTCTATTAATCAAAAGAAATCCCACTGTAGCTTTGTGATTAATGATGTCTGTCATCAAAGCATTTTTATGAAACAAAAATTTCTTGATGATAGGCAAACTTTGCAGGATGAGACAGAGAGGAGGCATTTCCCCATTCTCCCTTTCTCTCCCACACCGGAAATAGCGTCCCCATTTCCGATGGATTTTCCCCCGTCTCACCCAGTCTTTCTCTTTATCTCCATTATCAAGTTGAAGGTTGCTCTGGCTTTTTTTTTGCAGCCTTTTTACGTTCAGTGCTACGTGAGCGAAATTAGTACTACTTTGGTGATCGTAAAAAAAAAGTTTCTAGGGGTCATTTTAAATCTTTGAAAGAGATGAAAGAGATGAAAGAGACTGCTTTGAAAGAGATTTCAAATCACTACAGTACTCGATTTTAACTTACAGACATTTTGACTTACAGACATTTAAACTTACGTTACAGTAAAATCCATTAACCCTATCATACAGTGCTATAAAAAATTTGCTTAACTAAAACAATGGGATTAAGGTAGCTTTGAGCAATGGGCTTAGGGTAGCGGCTTAAAAGTCTGAAGGAAAGAAGACGGTCGAATAGAATAGAATAGTTCTAGCCACTCCGATTGTAATATGCTCAAGTAGAGTAAGTCTAAGCTCAAGTAGAGTAAGTCTAAGCTTATTTTAAAAGCTTTAGTTTAAAAGCTTTAGTTTAAAAGCTTTAGTTTAAAAGCTTTAGTTTAAAAGCTTTGTTTTAAAAGATCAATTTTCAAATCTCCAAGTCTTAAACGCTTTCTCATCTTTAATCTCAATCTTTAAGCTATTTTGTTAAGCCAATTTTGTTTGTCAAACCCCAGCATGATTGATCAATTACAAATTCGAGAAAAAAAAATCCGACGCACAAAACTTGAAACGGGTTTTTCTCTAAAAGAAGGGGAAACTTTCTACCCCACTTTCCCTTTGATCAAATGTTTCGGGTTTAGAAAAAAAAAGTGAACGCTTTTCTTGAGGCGAACGGAAGGAGAACGGAAGGATTTTTGAGTGAAAAGTCAAGTCTTTCTTTTTCCTCTTTTCATTCATTCACTATTCATCATGTCTCTCAAGAACAAGCTTTTTTTTTCGGCTCTAACAACACCGAGAATTGATTTGTCCCCTTGAAACTACAAACGGGGCTAATCTCAAGCGGTAAAGTGCGTAAAAGGAATGAAATTAGACTGACTGAAAGGACTGAAAGGACTGAAAGTGTTGCTGCTAGAATTGTCAATATATTGGGAAAAATTGAGAGAAATCTGGCATTGCCATAGCTTAGGCTCAGGCTTTTTTTTATCAATGGCACTATTAAAGTTCTTTTTGTTAGTACTTGACAAAACTTGACAAAGTAGAGCAAATTCATTTCATATTTTAACTGAAAATAATGACCATGCTCCTTTATTACTGCTCGCCATTACTGTTAAAGTTTTTCTCAATAATTGAAGAATTTGAAACTAGCAAATTTTTCTCCTATTAATAAAACAAAGAATGCTTGATTTTAATAGTTTATCTATTGATGCTGAAGTTTTTTTTATCAATGCCACTGTTATTTTAATTGCCATTCGAATTTTTCATCGCTATTTCCTAAATTTGAAACACGTGATTTTAAAAGAAGTACAGCTTACAGTTTGAAGCTCACAGCTTACAGCTTACAGCTTACAGTTGGAAGCTTACAGCTTACAGTTCGAGGCTTACAGCTTACAGTTGGAAGCTTACAGTTTGAAGCTTACAGCTTACAGTTTGAAGCTCACAGCTTACAGTTTGAAGCTTGCAGCTTACAGTTTGAAGCTTACAGCTTACAATTCGAGGCTTACAGCTTACAGACTTCACGAGTTTCAAGCCCAGCCTCATTATTCCTATTACTGTAGCTAAAGTCTTTAAAAACTATATCTTTAGCCTCAAATAAGAAAATCAAGAGAAAATCAAGATCGGTAAGAGTTAATTAGCCTTTGACTGCCTTCAGACAGAGACTGGACAGGTTTTAACCTTGGAAACATTTCAAGCATCTTCCCAGGAACATTTCAATCATTTCAATCATTCGAATTAAAGCATTAGATAGATTACGGTGCAGTAATTGTGTAATATTTCTTTTCTTTGACTCACCTTCCTGCCAATTCTCATACAGGGCAAAGGGTTTCCCATCAGAATTGACATAAACGGGATTGCTTCCAAAATAAGCACCACCAGTGAACATCTCACGATTGCCGACCAATCCTAGAAAGGAAATGTTTAAAGTTTGTAAAAAGTGGCTTAGATTTCAAATGTAGGTTTAAAAGGGATCTAAAACCAATAAGAATAAGGGCCAGAAAGTTTTCATCTTATGGCAAAAATTTCATTGTGGTGGCAGCTTCTTATAGATGGAATTTCTGAGCCACCATCATAGGTGGCTCAGAAATTTCATCTATAAGAAAGTCATGAAATCAGGGAAAAGTGAAAAAAATATCAAAGATTTGCCCGCCCAAAATATTCACTTTGACACCAAAAAAACGGCCAGAAGCCACTAGGAATTCTGATTTTTTTTTTTTGGAACACCCTGTAGATAGCTGTAGAAACGGTAGCCAAGCTAAAAATGGCATTGTCATGAATGTTTTAAAGCTAACAAATAGGTGTTAACAATTATATTAGCTGTAGATGCGAAAATTTGTAACCAGAGGCATTTTGGGATAGAGAATTTGAATCCGTTATTAGTTTTTGAGGAACTTTAATTTCCAAGCGAATACGGTCATCAAAAAACTCTTTAAAACTTGGGTAATTAAACCAAATTGGAGAAAAAAGGGCGAAACTAGCTTCTGATGGTATTTTCTTTAATAGTAGTGCGCCGAGTTGGTGGTCGAGTTGGTGGCCGAGTTGGTGGCCGAGTTGGTGACGATTTTACGGTTTCCAAGCTTTTGCAGAAGCTCAGCACTCTAATCATCGTCAAGATCTCATCGTCAGCTACATTTTCCGACCTCACATCGATTGGTTCTGATAAGCGGTTCTCGAGATTTCAAGGAATTTAAGCGACGCTCAGGGTGCACTACTATTAGAGAAAACACGGTATATCCCTAAAATGCCGTGGTCCGTATCGTTAACATATGTTAACACTTTAAATTTTTTCAATTTAATTTGATTGAATCATTTGAAAACCGCCAAACGCCAAACAAACCATGCACAAAACGATTCTCCTCATCAGAAGTGATCGATGCTAGGTGTGACCCTTGGAAAAGACACCGAAACTCGGCGATCGTCCAGGGGAGATCCCCTTGCAAAGGTTTATAGCAAGAATTCGTTGCCGAGTGATGCTTCCATCCGGGTTGACACGTGGCGGCGAATACTGTCGACAAGCCTAGATCTCGGATTTTGAAGGTGAACAAGGATTTTGTCTTATTGACTAAACAGAGCCAACGTGGCTGAATCGAAATTTTTAAGAATTATCAGCCGTGCTCTCGTGTCTCAATTTACTGCGAATAACTTGAATTTTCTTAGGGAAATCTTTTGCTCAGATCTTGGCAGAAAAACGATTTAAGTCTCTAATTCTGAATGTGCTAAATTTGTGGAAAATTTAGCAGATTCAAATCCAAATTTGATTCACCCATCAGCTTTCATTTAGCCCAGTAGCTTCTCATTGCTTATCTCAATATTCTCAATGTTTATCTCAATATTTTACGACAAGTGGAAAAGTTTAAAAAAATACTTGCAAGTTCAGATGAGCGATTGGACAAAAGACTTGGAAATATTGTATTTAAAGGCTCAAGCTTTAAAGGTTCAAGTTCTAAAGGCTCAAATCTTAAAGGATCAACTTTCAAGTTTCATGTTTTAAAGTTACATGTTTCAAAGTGATTGATGAGATTTCGGGTTAGTAGAAAGCAATCCTTCTTTCGTGCACGCACTACTTGTCAATCCTACAAATCTAACACCATTCAAGCTTTATCCACTTTACATTATTATATTTATTATATTATATATTTATTTTATTATTTTATTACTATTCGTGCCCTAGCTACAATAAACTCAATCAAAAATTGGTGTTTTTATTGAATTTTCATCCGGTTTTCAACGTCATTAAGCTTTTTTTTAGTCTATACCTATTATTTAAGTCTTTAGAAGTGTTTAGAAGTGTTTAGAAGTGTTTAGAAGTGTTTAGAAGTGTTTAAAAGTGTTTTAAAAGTGTTTTAAAAGTGTTTTAAAGTGTTTTAAAAGTGTTTTAAAGTGTTTTAAAGTGTTTTAAAGTGTTTTAAAGTGTTTAAAAGTGTTTTAAAGTGTTTTAAAGTGTTTTAAAGTGTTTAAAAGTGTTTAAAAGTCTTTAAAAGTCTTTAAATTCTTTAAATTCTTTAAAAGTCTTTAAAAGTCTTTAAAAAGTTGAGCATTTTCCTATGCAAGAGTTGAAAAATACGAAAAAATGAGAAATTTCGTTTAAACGAGCTCTTCTATTGGAAGAAATCGGGTAAGCTAAGCTATTAAACTGATTTAAGGGTAAATTCAGTTAGTTTAGAACAAAAGTAATAATAAACAACGTCGATGAATAATATTCTTATAGATCTAACCTATTTCAGTATCAGAAATCTCATAGTACTTAAGTTCACTGAACAAGGAAATGAAGGCGAAATTTTCACCACCTAATATCAAGAATTTTGCTCAGAGCTCAAACGAAAGAGTTCAAACGAAGCTCAAACGAAATCAAGCTTTTGTAAGCCCGCAAAATCTCACCTGTAATCAGCCCGAAAATCAGCGATTCCTGTAACATTTTCTGGAAAGAAAATTAAAGGAATATGAATCAAATTGAAGGAATATGCTTAAGGAATATGCCAAATTTAATTTTAAAGCAATACAAAGAATGATTTCGAATGAGTAAAAAGAAAGAACACTCCTTTATATAAAGAGAACCGGGGAAATGGGGTCGAAAAGCGTCAAAAGGGGAGAACAAATGGGCGGATCTTCGTCTTTTTTTTCTCTTTGAATTTCTTGAATCATCAAAGTTTCTTTTTTCTTCTTCTTTCTTGGTTTATTGTTTTACGAAAGGGGTTTTCCTTTTATTGCCCAACAAAGTTTTGAATTCATTCAGGTTATCAAGTTTTCAAGTTCAATTTTGTAGACTCAATAGCTCTAGATGATTAGCTCTAAATGAATAGCTCTAATTGAATAGCTCTAAATGAATAGCTCTAAATGAATAGCTGTAATTGAATAGCTCTAAATGAATAGCTGTAAATGAATAGCTGTAAATGAATAGCTCTAAATGAATAGCTCTAAAGGAATAGCTCTAGATGAATAGCTCTAAATGAATAGCTCTAAAGGAATAGCTCTAGATGAATAGCTCTAAATGAATAGCTCTAAAGGAATAGCTCTAGATGACTAGCTCTAGATGAATAGCTCTAGATGAATAGCTCTAAATGAATAGCTCTAAATGAATAGCTCTAATTGAATAGCTCTAAATGAATAGCTCTAAATGATTCCCCGACTCTGAAAACCCTCAGATACAAATTTACAGCTAGAATATCTTTTATAACATCTACAAAGCAAAGAGAAATCAGAGTAAAGAGAGATCAAAGCAAAGAGAGATCAAAGCAAAGAGAGACCAAAGCAAAGTAAAGAGTAAAAGGTGTTCTTTGTGCCGTGCACGATTCTTCCCCAATATCTCCAATATAGCTGCTCTTGAAGTAAGAATATAAACCTTTAAAAACACAAAAAAGATAGCAAATCATATGATTTGACAAGACAATGCCTCGTGTTTCAATGAGAGAAAATATTGTCGAAGGTCTGTTGCTTTCATAAACGTTAATGCCATCAAATCTTGTCCTGTACAACCTTTTATCTGTGCACCCTAATTGTCGCAACAAGATAAAGTTCTCATTTTAAGGCAGACAAGAGCAAAAAAGACAAATTTTTAACTGAATAACATTTATTGTACATTAACAATTATAAATGAACTATCAAATTCGAATCGGCCATCATTAGCATTTGAGCAGGCTCGCAGGTGTTTCGGGAAGGCGTCAACGACGGCGACCAAATGACTAGATCGAGCTGAATTGACACTTCCCACGCTTCTAACAGTGATTTCTTCAAGTTTTCGATGTTTCTGTAGAGCTTTGAATAAGTTTTGGCTTCTAGAACCGAGCATACAGAAAAATCCATTGGATTGAGGTCCGGAGAGCTAGGTCTGAAGTCTTGAGAGCTAGGGCTGGACTCTGGAGAGCTAGATCTGGAGTCTGGAGAGCTAGGGCAAACCCTCCAGACTCAGAAAAAGAAATTAAGTCCGGGACGTTTTGACAGAAGTCTTGAATTTTCTTGGATTTGTAGGCCTGCGCCATCTTGCTCGCAAAAAGAAATGTAGTCCGGGAAGTTGTTTTAGCGGAACTCTTAGACTTTTTTGGATTCGTGGGCCGGAGTGGAATATAATATGGTTAAAACAATAGAAAACAGTAGAAAATCTTTATAAACAAGCTAAAAACGATAGCATCTTGACTACAGTTTACAGCTTCAAAGCTTGTCCAATTGCTTGTTTGGGTATAAAAAAAAGCACTTGAATCGTCCCTCAAGTTGCACTCAGCAAAAGCTACCGTACTCTGGCTTAGAAAGAAGAGCTTAGAAAGAAGAGCTTAGAAAGAAGAGCTTAGAAAGAAGAGCTTAGAAATAAGAGCTTAGAAGGAAGAGCTTAGAAAGAAGAGCTTAGAAGGAAGAGCTTTCAATTTCAGCCAAATCTATTCATTCAAAGTGACTAAATGACCGTTCATTTATGAGCTAATATGCTTGAATTTGCTTAATTTTCCCTGCATTTCTGTTCCTTTTTCTGTTCTGTTTCTGTTCTGTTTCTGTTCCCATTCATTGACCCTTTCCCTCCTCAAATTTTCCCTGTAAATGTCCTTCCGGTGATCCAACTTTTTTTTTCTTCTTTTTACCCTTTTCTTTTCCACATTTCCCTATTCAAACATTCAAAGAATCTCTCTCTTTCTTTCGATTTCTCTCTTTTTCTTCCTCATTCCTAACGCCCACTCAATAAATTTTATTGAATAGTTTATGCAAAATTGATTTTTAAAAGAAGAGATTTTGTGTGGGTGGTAGAAGAAAGTTTTTTCGAATTTTATAACAATTTATGAGCCAATTTGCTTTTTATTTTAAGCATTTTAAGTCAATTTTAAGCAATTTATGAGCCATTACATTAAAACTTGATTTGATAAGAAATGAAAGGAATGAGAAAGGACTTTAATTACACTACTGGACAATGAAATATCATATTAGAGAAAAGATCGTCACTTTCGCGCGTCTGTAACTGCCTTTTCTTTATCGTATTTCTAAATATTAATATTACCATTGTGTAGCCCTTGAAAAGAGCTTTCAGAAAATGTATAACACTAATAGTTTAAACTCAAAGACAAGGGAGTTACAGACGCGCGAAAGTGACGATCGTTTTTCAAATATCATATTTCATTGTCCAGTACTGTAATTAAAGTAAACCAGAGAGATTTTGATCAAAGTCGACCTACAAAACCTCATTTCAAAGTAATCAGCGTTTAGCTAACATTTGCAATTACAAAACTGATCCCAACACTTTTTGGACGCGCTTTTTGAAACATTATAAATAGAACTTTCAAAATAAAACGACTTCTGAGTGTGGCTTGGGCTTTTAATACTTTCATTTCTGACTGCATCTTTATCTTTATTGAATTCTTTATTGAATTCTTTATTGAATCTTTAAATTTCTACTATTTCAATTGACAGAAAATGCCCAATCAACTGTAAATGGAGCATTTCCTTCAAAACTTTTTTCTTTCGGCATCACTCAATGACAAAAAAAAGCAATGGAAAATTTTGAGTGAAAATGCGAAAAGAAAAATCGGGTCGATTCGTGGATTTTTGCAAAGAAGTGCTCACTGAATATCCCCATTTGAGTGAGTAAAAAAAAGGGGAGTTGAGTGTGAGAAGTGAACAGTCGAATGACTTTTCAAAGATTCAATTGCTTTCACACATTTCTTTGAGGAGAAAACGGCCAGCTTCTAGAAAAAAAACGCCCCATTTGAGGGTGGAAATTGGGTGAAAGGTGGTAAAAATAGAGAAAATTGACAATCTATCGTAGTTTCTCTAATAGTAGTGCGCCGAGTTAGTGGCCGAGTTGGTGACTATTTTACGGTTTCCAAGCTTTTGCAGAAGCTCAGCACTCTAATCATCGTCAAGATCTCATCGTCAGCTACATTTTCCGACCTCACATCGATTGGTTCTGATAAGCGGTTCTCGAGATTTCAAGGAATTTAGGCGAAGCTCAGGGTGCACTACTATTAGAGAGAATATGGTATTTAGAATAGTCAATTTGATCCTTGGTCCTTTCTGAAGCCGATCAGCCGAGTACTCGAGGTCAGCCTGAGTCTAAGCCTGAGCCTGAGCCTGAGCCTGAGCCTGAGCCTAAGCTACGCAGGCCCTAAACCGGGAACAAAACCCAACCCGGAACATGCGCTCGCTAAGAGAAGGTAATAGATAATTAACACCGATAAGCATTCCTAAATCGTATACCGTATTCTCTCTCTAATAGTAGTGCACCCCGCCGAGCCGAGTTGATGCCTATTTTACGGTTTTGAAGTTTTCCCAGAAGCTCAACACTCTAATCCCCCAATAGATCTCATCGTCAGCTACATTTTCCGACCCAACATCGATAGGTTCTGATAAGCGGTTCTCGAGATTTCGAGGAATTTAGGCGAAGCTCAGGGTGAACATTAGAGAGAATACGGTATTTAACCTTTTTGAAAATAATATTGTTTTCAAGCCATTCATTTTCTCGAGTCTACCAATTGGAAAGTTTAACTGGTCTAAAATTCTAGCTCAATTTGGAAACTTAGTAAACAAATAGCTTTAAACACACAAATTTTACTCTTAATAAATCTTTTTGTGTTCTTTTCGATTTTTATAGTAAAATCTTTTCCGTATCGAAACACTCACGCGGTTGGAAAAGCAGCTTTTTTTCCTACCTTAATGGGATTTGATTCACGTTCACCGTTGAAACAGTACTTTGTTGTGGGAAAAGGGAAAAGAAGTGAAAAAAAAAAGTGCAAGCTTTTTTCTTATAGATAACCTTGAACGAGTTGAAAGGGTTTTGGTAAACTTTGCACAAGCATTGCAGACAAAACAATGAGACTAGTTTCTGGAAACGATAACGGATTGATCGAAAGGATTGATTGAATGGATTGATTGAAAGGATTGATTGAAAGGATTGATCGAAAGGATTGATAGAACGGATTGATCGAATGGATTGATCGAAAGGATTGATGGAAAGGATTGATCGAATGGATTGATTGAATGGATTGATTGAATGGATTGATGGAAAGGATTGATCGAATGGATTGATTGAATGGATTGATTGAATGGATTGATGGAAAGGATTGATCGAATGGATTGATTGAATGGATTGATTGGATGGATTGATGGAATGGATTGATCGAATGGATTGATGGAAAAGATTGATCGAATGGATTGATCGAATGGATTGATCGAAAGGATTGATCGAAAGGATTGATCTGTGAGAACAAAGCACAAATGCTTTGAAACTTGAAACATCATTTTGGCTGGCTGGCTTGGTTTCACTTGGCTTCACAACCAAGTTGGCTTGGTCTCACTAGTTTTTAGCTATTGCTTTAGGAATGATGCAAGGTACATTGTCTACAGTGAAGTCGATTAAACATTGCACATTTTGAAACAGAAAAAGTTGATCCAGACTCAATGTTTCAATTGAAAACGGCATTGATTCTTTCAAATTTTGTCCAA